TAGGTGTTCAGAATGGTTTGATCCCTATCCAGCTGAATTCCTGAGAGGAGACGAAATCCAGGTCTCCTACTCCTCTGCCATCTTGCTCCGCCTCATATTTTTACCTTTTGTCAAAATTATTTAAATCCTATTATTCTCCTGCCACAAATCTATCATTAAATGTTTCTGATTGTTACAGATTTTATTCAGCCTGTATCCAGATCAAGGAAAGTTCTGGCAGTTGTTGGCTGTGTCACCCCTGCAAAGCTACTGTATCCAGTCTATACAGAGATGGATAGTTGCCCATGGCTGAGATTCACCAAGAGACACCAGAGAACTATTACAACTGTTGCTGAAGGCTGCAGTGTAGGTGATCACTGTTCCTCCCATGCCTATTTTGTTCCTTCAGGACATTTGATGAAAGATGAGGCCAGAGCAGAAGGGGAGGGGAGCACTAGTGAAACTATGATGGGTGGTTGGTGGTGAGGTTCCCCCTGGGGTGATGACAACCAGGTGGCACATTCCAGTTAGGGCCTGGCTCCCCTGGGCTCTTGCATACTCTGTTTTGTACCCCATCCCCACTTCCTTTTGCATTTCCGCCTGGGTGGTTTCTACTGACCTATTTTTAAGTTCATTGCTTCTTTTCCTTGGCTGTGTCACCTGGGCATGATGATTGCTTGGTTTCTTCATACTGTGTTTTCTCTTGCCTTTTTGTAGGCCTCATAGTTTGTCACTAAAAGCCAGATGTGTTGTATAGGATAGTAGATATTGAGTGTGTTAGTCAGCTCGGAATGCTGTAACAAAATACCGCAGCCTGGGGCTTAACAGATATTTATTACTCACAGTGCTAGAGGTTGGACGTCCAAAGTCAAGGTGCTTGCCAATTTGATATCTGATGAGAGCTCTCTTTCTGGCTTGCAGATGGCTGCCTTTCTTGCCATGTCCTCACAGGGCCTTTCCTCAGTGTGCCTGTGTGTATGTGGAGAGAGAGAGCATTCTCTAGTGGCTGTTCTTAATAAGGATACAATCCTCTCAGATCAGGGCCCCACCCTATGACTTCATTTAACCTCAGTTACGTCCTTAGAGGCCCCATCTCCAGACACAGCCACACTGGGCGGCCGGGCTTCAACATATGAATTTTGTGGGGGACATAAACATTTATTCCATAGCACTGTGGGTTTTAGTTGGGGGTCTGGGTAAATCTAGTCAGAGGTTGGCTGTGTGGCAGTGTGTGGTTGCTATGGTAACCTCTAGCATCCCACACACTTGGAATTGCTTGGCTTCTCTCCTGCTGTCTGCCAGGCTGTGCACTATTCCTATTCCTTCCACAGGGGAGAGTTACTTTTCCCTCTTACCCACCACTCCCAGCTGCTGGGGTTCCACTGTGCCCTTAGACTACCAGATTTGATACGTTTCCCCAGCAAATTAACGCTTTTTCATGAATCTCTTCAGTTTCTCCATCTTCCTTGTGAGTACCTGCTAGGGTTCCTGAAGCAAAATCCTATTAGAAGATGTGAACACCCCAATTCTGTGGCTCCCAGGATCTCCCTACTATCACGCTAGCCCACACTTGACCTTGAGCAGTTTAAAAATTTTCTGATTTAATCTTGCCTGCTTCTGCCTGTAATGGTAGCACCTGTCTCAGGGAAGCAAACGCTGGGCCCTATTCCTCCCCTCGGTCACCCATCTCACTCTAGATTTCAAGTTAGATGTTTATGATGCAACCTCATTCTTGACAGAATAAGTCATTAACTTAACATCTGTCCAGGCTTTTCAGGTTGTGAGAGTAGGAGTGGTGTGTTTCTAGCTCTCTACTTATCCCAGCTGAAACTGAAAGTCCAGAGCCCAAAGTCTCTCTTGAATAGACATTTGGATGAGGATAGTCAAGCATGAAAGTCCCTAAAGCTCCCAAGCCTGGGAGAGGGAGCATCTTGGAAAGCAAGCTGGGGAGGAGAGGAGGGCAAGGAGGAGAAAGGAGTGGGGAGGAAGAGGAAGCAAATGGAGGAGGAGGCTCATGGAGGAGGAGGGAGAAAAGGAGGCAACTGTGTCCAGCTCAAGTATTTCTGATTATTACCTTTTTTTCTGATCATTGCCTTTTAAAAAGGAGTTAAATCATTCACAGATTTTTTTTCTTCAGTATCTTCAACTGATAAGCTTGGGTGAACTGAAATTTTAGAAAATTGGGTAGTTTCCCTTGCAGTCACCAGTAGTTTTTGCATATTCTTATTTCCTCTGGTTCTTTTGGGGAGTCCCTCTGTGTCTTTCCAGAACATCCTCTCACTCAGCTGAGCCACTCAACATTCCAGAAAGACCTGGCACTCAAGGTCTTCAGGTGGGCTCATGAGATGGCTCTGGTGGGCAGTGCATGGTGCATCCCTGCCCTTAAATGAATGAGAGCACTCATCTGTACCTGCTCTCAGGACAGGGTAGCTCTGAAGTCTATCTGAAAGCTTGCTAAAGTCTTGGTATTTGCTTCACCACTTTAAAATTGTGTCTCAGTTTTAGGTGAAGATGTATCTCCCTGTGAGAGAACTGGAGAGCTCTGTGATTTTAATGAGCTTTGTTTCCCATTCTTATGCCTTACCTCTATATCATCTCCATGGGTTAAAAACACTAAGACATCTTCCTGCTTTCCTCAGCTTCCCCTGGGGCCTTCTCAAAGCAAGTGTCAGTGTGGAGGCCTGACTTCATGATGCCCGTAGGAGAGGGATCCTGCCTTCCCTTCATGTGACCTCACTGTAAATGATCATAACCTACTGCCCAGGCTGAGCCAAGAACTCGGAGAGATCCTATCCAGAACCAGACAGGGAGGCAGAAATATTTGCAGGTTGCTGAGTGATTACTGTACTGTGGCAACTCCTGTATGAACCTTATCAGTCAGCAGAAATCCTAAATAAGTATAATAAGTAAGGATAATAACAGGATAAAATCAGATAATGACAAATAAGAGTCTTCTGTTCATCCCACCGAGAACTGTACCATGTCACTTTTGCTCCACAGCATTGTGCAGTCTTCCTTCTAGAGCAGCTCAAGTACACTAGCCCTTTCCTGGGACTTGAATGAACCCAGACCCATCCTAGTGACTGGCAGACAAATGGTTTTTCTCAGCAGTAAGGGTAACCGGGAGGTCTCTCTCCTGTTCTCTGAGCCATGTGTGTATTTGGATGAAGAGAGAAAGAGAAGTGGAAGAGATGAAGAGAGCTGTGTGGGATGATAGGAATGCTGCAGAATGGTTCTTACATGTCTATGGATCTGTTAAAGAAAAAAAAGTCTTCAGTGACACTTGTTAAAGATGACAAGTCACACTTTATTCGGGAACTTAGTGATAGTTGTAGAGACCACTGCAGTGAGGTCTTGCAGTGGGGGAGAAAGATTGAACTTGAAAAGTGGGACTTTAAAGCCAAGGAGCAGGGTGGGGGGCAGTGGATGAAAAACTACTAAGAGGAAACATCATGGATAAGAGGAGATTCTGGCCAAACTGACCTCACAGGATCCTTGTTGAAGACAGGCCAGAGTGACCAGACATCACCTGGGGGATGGAGGTGGATGAGGAATCTGATCAGATATTGAGTGTGATTAGATATGGAGAATGAAGATTCTGCCTAAATTAACCTAGCAGGATTCTTGCTAAAACTGGACACAGAAGCCCCAAAGTCAGGGCTTAGTCTTAGAGAAGAGAGTTCAAAGGAGCATACCTAAGGTTTGGCCAAAGAGAGACTCTGTCAATCATTAACCATTATTAAGGCTGATTTAAGCTTCCCATGGGCTCCTTAGAAAATGTACATTTTTCTTTTCTTTTTTTTTTTTTTTTTAAGATTTTATTTATTTAATTGACAGAGAGAGAGAGATAGTGAGAGAGGTAACACAAGCAGGGGGAGTGGGAGAGGGAGAAGCAGGCTTCCCGCCGAGCAGGGAGCCCAATGCGGGGCTCGATCCCAGGACCCTGGGATCATGACCCGAGCCGAAGGCAGTCGCTTAACCAACTGAGCCACCCAGGCGCCCCGAAAATGTACATTTTTCTCAGTAGATTTTCCATACATTTCTGGAAGCTCACAGACCCTCTTCCAGGACCTTAGGCTGAGAACTTGCTGTGGTGGTTTGTGAAAGACAGATCAGAGGTCAGAAGTCCCCCTCAGATGCGCCCAGAGAGCCAACTGCTGCTGGTATCTACAAAAATGGGGACAGAGTCAGGGCAGGCTAGACTGTGCACCAGAGTTTGGAACTTTGAAGGTGATTCTCAGCAAAAGGGTGTTATTGTGCCGGTCTGGGGCAAGAAGTGATTCAGGCAGGCCTGGTTTTGAAAGGCCAGTAGTGGTGTTCTCATTGTTGTCCTCATGAGTGAAGAGCCCCACTGTTATTCCTTCTTGACTTCTGGCCAGACCCCAGGGGTGTGTGTTTTGGTGGGAAGTGCTTTTGGAGAAAGCCTCACTATCCTTTAACTGGAGAATAACAAAGCTACCTTTTCCCCTATGATGTTTTCTCTGTATTAGTTGGGTTTTGTCACCTCAGTAATTGCAGGGTTTATTTTAGAAGCTTTGTGAAACAGGAAGTGGCTGTGATTGCAGGCACGTGAAGTTCTTTGTCCCTGAATTGTTCTCTGTGCTTATTATGGGGGAGACCTGTTCAAGGCTCCTAGGTCATTAAACAGGTGAATAATGGTCAGCAAGCCAGGTTATATATAGGCAGGGTAATTAGGCTTGCTCACTGACCTTCCTCCCTTCCCTCCTTCCCTTTCTCTCCCTCCCTCTCTTCCAATCTTTTTTCCTTGTTTCTTGACATATGGTCCATTTTCCATCACACCCTTCATAGTAGTCCTGGGCTTTCAAAGTACGTAAAGAAAACACTATACATATTAAAGGATTTTGTCCCCTCCTGTTCTTCCTCTCTTACATCCTAAACTCCTCATCATTGTGATGTCCATTATGATAGCAACTAGTTACTTGTGGCTCTTGACATTTAAATTTATATTAATGAAGTAAATAACATTAAAGTTTCACTTCCCCATTCACACCAGCCACATTTCAAGTGCTTAATAGCCACATGTGATTAGTGGCTACCATATCAGACAGCACAGATAAAAACATTTCTATCACCACAGAAAATTCTATTGGCCAGCACCACTCTAGAAATTAAGGACAATCATTCATCCATTTGGTCCCAAATGCTGGAGAAAATACATTAGCACTAGATAGATTATTTTTATGAATTGATCAGTCTTAAAAGTTTCATACTTTATCAAATGACATTGCTTCCATTTTTATCAAGAAGTTGGGTCTAAAGGAACCCCACTTTCTTACCTCCATTCAACTAAGCAAAAGTTGTGTCAAAGAAAAATTGTATCAGTTAAACAGGTAAGGAAGACTTTATCCAAGACTATTGCAATAGGGAAGAGATTGAACTCAACTCCAAATACAACAGGTTAAGCTGGGAATCTACAGAAGGGTGAGGGGGAGGATGGAAAATTACAAAGGGAACTTGGCTGGGGTTCAAGAGTGAAGTGAAGGCATTCTTAAAAAAAAAAAAAAAAGAAAGAAAAAAAGAAAAGAAAGAAAGAAAAAGAAAAAGAGTGAAGGGATTCTCGATAAACTGGGCTCACCAGGCCAAGGTTGAAACTTAACCAAGAAGAGGGCTCAGAGGACTTAAGTTTGGTCCAGGAGGGAGTCCTGGCCAGTGTTAACTGAACCTGGCATTTGATAGGCTCTGTAGCAAACTGAAGGGTAAGCCCAAGAGGACTGTACATTTTAGGTGGAAATGAAGGCCCCTTTCAGGCTCTCATGGATTTGTTCCATGACCTGTAGCAGCACACTGCCCGCTCTTCAGAAGTGCTTTGTTCATGTGTCTTTCTCCCCACCATGCATAGGCTGCCAAGACAGCTGCCCACACTGGGACAGCCAGAGAAAGTCAATGGTCACACTCATTAGAGGTACAACAGGAAGATAATTAACTAGGAACTCAGAGGAGGGATGTCTAGGGGGCTCACAGAGTGGGAAGAAGGTTCATGGAAAGCATGTCAAGTTAGCTTTTGAAAGATGGCTTTGACTGGGGTAGTGGTAAAGGCAGGAGACTACTTTGATGCAGCTAGAAGAAGGAGGCGATTTCTCTCTGACTTCTTCATGCCCCATCTGGCAGGGACTTTGGTCTAAGTTTGGAGGACCTCAAGGATGAGGTAAACAAAGGATGCTGTAAACAAATATTATTGGTGAAACAAGTATATTTGTTGGGGCATCTAATGTGGTGAGAACCACATTAGTTTCTAAAGAAGTAACAAAATGAATAAGATGCAGTTATTCCTCTTGAGGAGTGAGACCAGTTGGGGAGAAAAGTCTAAAACAAACTGCAGTATGGCATGAGCCCAATCTACAGAGGAACACTGGAGGAAGCCAGAGGATCCGCTGGAGTCATGGATGACAAGGAAAGATTTAAGGAGAGGAGAGTTTGAGTGAGAACTTGAAAAATGGTAGAAGTTCTGCAGATTTGGGGAGGCATTTGAGGCAAAGGCAGGGGACTATGTGTTAGGAGCATGGTGGACAGTTCAACATGGCTGGGAGGCAAGGATTGAAGCTACCTGCAGGGGTGAGGCTCAATTAGAGGCTCCTGTTTGCTGGGATCTGGAAGTTACAGCTGACACAGTCTGAGCACCCCAGTGGGCTTTGAATCCTAAGTGCATGGTGGGCATCTAGAAAGAGAAAAGGAAGGGTGGAAGTACACGTGGTCCTGTGTCTATGTGATTTTGTATGCACTCAATTTGGTTGGTTAATAATAGGGTGCTTTGTTACGTGGTTGTCTCCCCAACAGGGCATGAGATGTCCCCCGGCCCCCAGGACAAAGGTCTTGTTTTATTCATTCATTTCTTGGAACGCAATAAATGCTCCACAAACATTCATTAAATCTGAGGGTGAAGGCACTGCTTTTCTAATGTTAGCCTCTAGGTGGTGCTGTTCCTTCCGGGTTTCTGCAAGGTCTCTTGGAATCCTTTCTGAACTGAAATATTTCTCCCCACCGTGTATCTTGTGTTTGCCCTGGGGAAAGACCAAGACACGAGTAATTTTGGCAGAAGCAGCAGTGTCTCTTTGGGCCTTTTCTTGGTACATCCTGCCTCATGCGTGACTTCTGTTTTCCATTTGTCCTTGATGGAACCCAAGTAGTAGCATAAGTATGTGGAGAGGCTTTCCAACCAAGTGCGGGGGACTGCTGCTCAGTCTGGGCTCTCATATGGGCAACAGTGCTGATAAAACCCTTTCTTTACCAGGATGTTTTTTGTACAATTGGTTTTTTTAAACCAGTGCATTTTGCTGGAGGAAATAGATAATGAAAAAAGATTAACCATTCACTGGCCCTTGATACAGTAAATCTTGTGTACACTCTGGCAACAGTGAGGTTGTGCCTTTTCCCTAAGTCTGTTCCATAAACCGCCTGTTTCTTCTAGGGTTTTAAGGAAGAGTAAAGGAATTGGCTACTGAATGCTCCTACAGTCAGTGAGCTGCTGCTAAGACTTTTGAGACCTCATACAAAGCTTAGACTATTTTGAGATTCATTTTTCCACCTACAACAGTTTTTTCCTCTGGATCAAAATAACTAGGCTAGCCACTGTGTAGAATCCATGTCATGACCCCCAGAACCTTGCAGCAGAGGCAAGACTTGGCCCAGAGCAGAGAGAGAAGGGTTGAGTAGCATGGGCTCCTACATTTGTGCAAAACCCAAATGCAGGATGTTGGTGCTAAGGGGAAGCCTACAGTGGGGCTTAAGTGCCATGGAAATTATATTTTGTGGGGGGAAAGCCTCTTTACCTGATAATTTTTCCCTGATCAAGAGTCCTTCACACGCTTTGAAGAAATTTCTCTCCTTTCACTACAGTGCATGTCACTTATTTAGCTGGCTTCAGAATTCTTATTTTCAATTCTCTTTGTGATTTCTCATTCTAAAAATAGAGACCTGGCACCTAAGGATTTGGACATGGATGTGGATCAGTTTATCTGTTCATTAATGCAGCCGTCCTGTCTACTAGCTCATGGTGGGTCCAGGAACTTGGGCAGGAGTTTTATGCTGGCTGCAAAATGTGGAAGCAGAGATCATGGTAGAATGGGGAGATACCACTTAAAGGTTAAAACAGAGGATTTGAAATGCATGCGATCAGACATTGCAAAACCAACTGCATGTCAGGAGTGAAGTGCTAAGGAGATAAGGAGTGGTCAAAGTCTGCAGTACAGTTGTCAGAAACAGCCTGGATAGGTATTTCTCTGTGCACCTTCTAAGGAGGGTGCTCACTGGGTGGGTGGTGAGGGGACTTCAGGCCTCTCTTCCTTGCTTTGTGGTTCACCTTGACTTTGCCTCAGCTTCGAATCTCACCAGCCACATGGACTCCACACTGCTCCAGGTGGATCTGGCAGGGGCCCTGGTGGCCGGTGGCCCAAGTCATACCGGGAGAGAAGAACATGTCATGGTGGAGGTGACCCAGGCTGACGTTCCAGGCTCCAGGCGGCGGCGGCCACAGCAGGTTACACTTATAAGTTATTTGAAAGGAATTGTGAAAACTCATTTCATCTCTTTATAAATTGAGTTTCCTTTTGAATGGATTTGATGGGAAGCCATAAGGCAATGGCACCATTATTAGGCAAACCCCATCTTTTGCTTTGTCTTTGACTCTTTTTTCCTTTTGTTTAAGACAATTATAAAACTCTTGCCATTTCAGTAAAATGAGGCTTGCAAGTTATTTAATTCACATGATTTTACTGGGCAATTCAGGGAAACATTATATATTTGAAAGCAGTTTTGTTGTTAAAGCACAATTAAACCTGGGCTTTACCCCATGGTACGGAAGGTATTTCAACACCACAGTTCTCTTGGGTTTGGGGACACTTGCCTAAGACTTGCATAGTTTCCCAAAGCTTCTGCTTCTAAAGTGATAGGCTCTTGTGCTTAGTGTCTCCTAGACAAAAACTTTAGCTCCTGTCCTTCGAAGGCAAGGAGAGCCAACAGTGGTGTTGTCACCATGGCCCAGAGCCCAGACAAGGCCTGGCCCCTCTCTGTGCATCCTGACCTGTACCCCAAGTCCTGGCCTGATGACTCCCTGGGATTATCATGGTGACTTGTCTATGAAGTTCATGGGTTTTCCCTATTATAATCAATAGGAGGAAACCCTGCTGGTGCACAATGCTGTGTCATCCAAAATGGAGCATCTGATGGGTTACTGCACCCCTCGCATTTTCCTGCCATGCAAAGCAGGGTCCACAGAGCAAAAGCCTCATAATGAATGAGGCTGCAGTTTCATGGGTGATGGTCTGTGCAGCACCAGTGTTCTGAACCAGTTGCCTTGGCCTTGGTCTTAGGATGTAAACTTCACTTCCTTCTGTGTGGTGTACAACCGGCTGGCAAGGCCTTCTCATTAAAGGCGGGGTAGGCACACATCTGCCTGCTCTGTCTGTGGGCCTTGTGTGGGGGAAGATGTGACCTTTTGCAGCCTGCTGACACAGCTGCCTGCCCATGGGGCTCTACTCCGCTCTAGTGTCACACACAAATCCAGCTCAGAAACACGAAGAACACAAGAGATCTTTACTAATGGATTTTTTCTGATATACTCTTTCCAAATACTGAAGTGTTTTAAGAGAACTTATGAACTCTCATTTATGCTTTGACCAATTTCAGAGTTCCTATTTTCATTTACTTTATGATTTGTGGGCAGCAAAGCTCCTGTCCTCCCATTGCAGTTTCCCTGGCCCTTTCGCTCCCCCAGCTAGCCCCTCCATCTCTGCTCACATCTGGTCCCCCTCAGCTGGTTTCTCCACTGCCCTGCTTAGGACAGGAACATGTGGGGAGGATTTGCCTGCAGCAAAGGAAGCTTCATCCTTGGATCCTACCTCCCATGGACTCCTGTAACATGGGTGTGAAGGTTTTCTGCCTCCAATTTGCAAGCAGGAAGCAGTTCTAAGCAAGCATTTCTTGTGAATTGCCTCAGAGGGCTCAGAAGATCCCAAGTCTTGTATAAAGTGCAGTGATTTCTTTTTCTCATAGTAAATCATATTTACTTCTATACCTTTGTACCCTTTATACTAATTCTGTATTTGTACTTCCGCATTCTTTTTTTTTTTTTTTTTCTTAAAGCCCTCTATGTTGTGGAAATTTCCAGTTCTGCACAGCTTGGATATGCTCTAGTGTCAGGGATGTGGGAGCTGTATACAAAGTCCTTGCTGTTCCTCTTTTTCTTCTTTTCTTATTCTAAACTAACACCTACAGTGAATAGCGCTGAATCCCAGGTGATGGTTCAGGTTCAAAGCCTTACTCTGATATTACATTTCAACTTTTACAGGTCACTCAGAATTGGACAGTATTTTTAAATCCGAGAAGAAGTGAGCACTTGGTGGTGAGCAGGACCTTTGAGATACTGAGCAGGTGGGTCTCAAGTGATCAAGGATCTTGGGGGAAGGTCTCCTCTGGACATTTTCACTTAAAAAGTTTGACCTGTGGGACTCCAATTTTTGGCACAAATAGCCAGATCAGTTATGTGGTTTGGATGGGATGCTCTAACTGTATAGACTAGGAACATGAAGGATGTAGGAGGGCATCATAACACTCACTCTCTGTGAGTGTCAGGAAATGAGGATTGATTGCAGGGTCCATTTTGAAGCAAATGATATTTTTAGTTGATGCTTTAATTTCATTAATATTATGAAGCTCCACAATGGGGAATTCCAGGAAATTTTAGGATTATTTCTCTTTTTCTTTAATGCTGCTCCATATTTTGTCTATATGAGTTTGCTAGGCCTGCCATAACAAATACCACAGAGTGTATGACTTAAACAGTAGAAATTTATTTCCTCAGGGGTTCAGCAGGATTTGTCTCTTCAGAGTACTCTCTCCTTGGCTTTGTCTCCCTGTGTTTTTCTGTGGACTTTTCTGTGTGTGTGTGTGTGTCCCAATCCCTTCTTGTAAGGACACTAGTCATACTGTATTAGGGACCACATCAGTGACCTCATTTTAACTTAATCACCTCTGTAAAGACTCTATCTCTAAATATAGTCACATTCTGAAGTTTTGAGGGTTAGGGTGTCAACATCTATATTTTGGGGACACAGTTCAGCTCAGAATAGTTACTGACTAAACTTTTAGAAAAGTGCTTTAATTTCACCATGCCACATACTGTTGATTACTTGGATGCCTCTTGTTCCAGGTACTTTTCCCCACCATCTGTGACAACCTGTCTATGTGTTCTCAGGTTGCACATGGCCCTTTTTTGAATCTCCCACATGTGAGAATGGTTGGCTTTGCTATTTGTTAGCAGGTAAAGCAGTCAGTGTGTAATGAGGAGAGAGAAAATTAAATGGCTAGAACCAGTGTGAAAGTCCTTGCTCCCTGTTAATTGTTGGAGTGGCACCTGCCATGAGGCAGACACTGCCAGATGAGGGGGCCTACATCATATGGACCTGGCCATAGGGAGGCTGTGTCTGCATCTTACACTGCTCATATGCACTCAGAGCGCCTCATCTGCCAGGTCAGACATTGGGCTAAATCACTGTGAGGTCAGTTTGGGCTCTGGTTATGGCCATGGATGACTTGTGTTGGGAAGGACACCAAGGAAGCAGGCACTAATTGTTGACATAGAGTGTGGTTTCCCTTACTAGTGGTAATATTTTTGCTTCATTCTGCAGAGATACTGTTTCTATCAGCATTCGAGCCTCCCTCCAGCAGACACAGGCAGTTCCTCTTTTGATGGCTCATCAATACCTCCGTGCAAGCATAGAAGCACAAGTGACCATTGCTGTGGTCATCCTTGCTGGGGTCTACATGCTGATTATATTTGAGGTAACTTTCATGCCAGCTCTCTAAGATTTATCTGTGCTCACAAGTAAGTGTCTTTCAACATGAAGGTGCTCTGGATGGGCTCAGTTCTGCTTCTTAATCAAACTGCAATGGCATCTTTCCTAAAAAGGAAGATTCCATCATTCTAGGTAGAAATTGATCTGTACTGGAATATTTGCTGAACCTTGGCAACTGACACATGCAAGATGAGTTTTAGCAGGCCCCAGCAAAAGTTTACCTGAGAAAACTGAATATGTACATGAGTTTCTCACCCTTACTCTGCTGCTCACTTGAAGTGTGAATCTCTCTGAGATGCATATTAGAATGCCCCCATTTGCTTCATAGGATTGTGTATATTACAGGGACTTGAGAGACCTTGGGCTATGTGGGGGGAGGGATTATTATCTGTTATGTTTATCAACTCAGCTAATGAGCCTTTTCACAATTGATCTCATGTCTTATAAATTCCATGTTTCTGGGAAACTAAGTTCGGCTCTACCTTTAATAGCATGGAGCAAAATGCAGACACTGCCTGGATGGGTTGGTCCATTATTAATTTAATCATGAAACCAGATATACAGCAACACATTGATGGGATGTCAGTAGAGGATGTGATTCTGAAGAGGTATTTCTTCTTGAGTGTAGGATAGATATGAGAAATGCCTTGGAGTTGTCAAGGAAATGGCCTGCAGCAGAAGTGGCCAGGAAAGTTCCAGAAGTTTGCCCGTGGTTGTCTAGTCTACCTGGTGAGGAATGTTTGCTCCAGTAAGTTGAGCCCCAAGTTCCAACAAGATCCAATCATTGGTTTAGTTGTTATATCTCTTATGTCTTCTTTATTCCAGAGTAGCTCTATTCTCTCCGTTCTTTTTCTGTTTTCCTCTCAATCAATATTATCATGTTTCAGGGTTCCTTGGATTACCTACACACTGTGATTTTCTAGAAGAACTTACAGACTCAGAGGCAGCTGTGCCCTGTGTGGGCCGTGGTTTATTACCATGACCAGCAGTGGGGAAAGCCGTATCAGGCAGTCTGGAGCAGTCCAGGAGCAGGGTTCTGAAAGGTCTCCTTTCCAAGAAGGGGGCCATATAGAAAATGCTTCTTCCTCCAATAATAGTGTTTCTGCCCATGGCAGCCTGCTTGAGACTCAGCCAAGGTTTTTGATGGGGGCTTGTCATATAGGTGCCCTCAGCCCACCAAAGTCCCAACCTCCCAGAAAGAAAACAGGTGTTAACAGTAAATCACATTTTTATACAAAGAGTTTAGGCATGTTAGTACAGCTTAATGCAATGCCCTAAGCCTACAGAACAACCATATCACTCTGTAACATAAGGAACATTCCAAAAGCCAGTACCCAGATGCCAGCCAAGGGCCAGCCCCAGAACAGGATCTTCTAAAGGCCCTTCTAATGATGGCAATTTCAGGCCTGCCAGGTTAAGTCTTTACTGTACCACCATCTAGATGAAAAATCCCATTCTCTGGGAGAAGATATTTGCAAATGACTTATCAGATAAAGGGCTAGTATCCAAAATCTATAAAGAATTATCAAACTCAACACAGAAAAACAAATAATCCAGTCAAGAAATGGACAGAAGACATGAACAGACATTTCTCCGAAGAAGACATACAAATAGCAAACAGACCCATGAAAAAATACTCCACATCACTTGGCATCAGGGAAATACAAATCAAAACCTCAGTGAGATACCACCTCACACCAGTCAGAATGGCTAAAATTAACAACTCAGGAAACAACAGATGTTGGTGAGGATGCAGAGAAAGGGGAACCCTCTTACACTGTTGGTGGGAATGCAAGCTGGTGCAGTCATTCTGTAAAACAGTATGGAGGTTCCTCAAAAAGTTAAAAATAGAGCTACCCTACAACCCAGCAATTGCACTACTAGGCATTTATCCAAAGGACACAAACATAGTGATTCAGAGGGGCACATGCACCCCAATGTTTATAGCAGCAATGTCCACAATTGCCAAACTATGGAAAGAGCCCAGATGTCCATCGACAAATGAATGGAGAAAGAAGTGGTATATATAGACAATGGAATATTATTTGGCTGTCAAAAAGAATGAAATCTTGCCATTTGCAATGATGTGGATGGAACTAGAGGGTATTATGCTAAGCAAAGTAACTCAGAGAAAGACAAGTATCAGATGATTTCACTCATATGTGGAATTTAAGAAACAAAACAGATGAACATAGGGGAAGGGAAGGAAAAGTAAAATAAGATAAAAACAGAGAGGGAGACAGACCATAAGAGACTCTTAACTATAGGGAACAAACTGAGGGTTGCTGGAGGGGAGGTGGAAGGGGGGGAGGGATAACTGGGTGATGGGCATTAAGGAGGGCACTTGAAGTAATGAGCACTAGATGTTACATGCAACTGATGAATCACTAAATTCTACCTCTGAAACTAATAATATGCTATATTTAATTAATTGATTTTAAATTAAAAAAAAAAAAAGAAAAATCCCCTTCTGGGGTTCTGTAGAATATCCTGTATCCTGTAATGGGCTAATGGGCTTTTCATGGGATTAATTTCTTATTCTAGTCCCTCTATTTCCTATGAACTACAACTTATATCTGAAGCCTTCACGTTTTATTTTGGGACCCATGTACGTATGTCACAGATATTCTGCAAGTTTGGATTGCAACAAGGAGGACTGTGATGTCTAGGTGTCCCCCTTTCAGGGATGCTGAGATTGCTTAGTGAGTTTAGGTGGTGGCAGTTTGACCCAGTGATTATCAAGTTCCCTGTGACCTTTGCTCCTAATGGTTATAATATCCACCAGGAACCATTAGCATTTGCAATAAATTTTCTAATTCTGTCATTCTATCTGCATTTATAAATGATTCATTGTGTATTGAAGAATTTTCTCCCACCCAATTTCATTAATGGGAAACACACTTAATGCCAGAAACACAAGATAAATTATTTTTCTTTGGTTATCAATTTTCATAGGAATGAGTTGTTCCCTTAGCAACTTCCAGTGATATCAACTGAGTTTATTTTGTGCCTGTCTCCCATTTTCTGAATATCATTTTGAACTTATGATTATGAACTTATGGGTTTAATAAAGTCAATGTACTTAAATCAGTTGCAGTCATTAGTAATTTAAAAAATTACAGCCCAATGCCAACTTATTTTTGAGGAGACTTCTCTATTATTCTAGAATCTGTCTTTTTTGTATAATTGTCCAAACTTTCAAAATTATATAATTTGTAAATATTTATTAATCTTTATTAATAACTTTAATAGCAGTTATTAATAGCCATTCAGAAAAAACTTTTCCCTTCCTCTCAGCAGCTGTGGAGGTGATAAATTCCTGTAAAGAAGTTAATTCAACATGGCTTCTACACTGACAGAAACAAAAAGCGAATAATTGAGAAGAAACCAGAAAATTAGTTCATTGATATGGCTCATTGAGGGTACCCTCAGATTCTTTTTAAAAAATTTTTTTATTTAGCTGGGGGGAAAAGATGGCAGAGGAGTATGGGACCCTATTCCAACCAGTCCCTGGAATTGAGCTGGATATCTACCAGACCACTCTGAACACCCATGAAATCAGCATGAGATGTAAGAAGATAGATCTGGATCTCTACAAACAGAATATCACAGGCAGTTGGTTTCAAGGTATGAAGTAGGGAGCCGTAATTCCATGGACAGATATCGGAGGATAAACGGAAGGTGGAGGGAGCCTGGCTGTGGGGATCCTACACTGCCAGTGAGTGATAACCTCCTGCGCTGGGGATGGGGCACAGACTCTCAGACCAGTAGTGGCAGGGAGAGGACATCAGGGCAGCCCCCTGGGTTAAAACCTGGAGTGGCAGGGCCACGTGAGTGAACTGGGGGCAGCTGGCCGTTTTAGAAGCACAAAGGGCAGAGACATGCCCTGACCTGGAGACGAGGACTGGGAGCACTGCTGAGGGGCACACAACATAGGACGCTGCAGTTTATAGCAGCACAGACAGAAATGGAGATAGTGTGGCCTGGAGAGCTCACTGAAGAACAGACTGCAATCTCTCTGCTCTGAGGCAGAGGGTTGGAAACAGTCTCTTCTGCTCTGACTCTTGGAAGAGATGCGGAAAGCCACCAGGGAAAGCTGCCAGAGAACAAAAGCCCCAAAAAACCGGTTTTCAGTGAGCCCATCCCCTGCCACCGGAGGCAGGGAAACTCTGCCCAAACAGGGTTGCCCTGAGTAACAGCATGGCAGGCCCCTCCCCCAGAAGATAGGCTGGGAAAACAAGAGGCCAGCAACCCTAAAGTCCCTAGAAAACAGGTGCATCTTGCTTGGATTGTGGTCAATAATTTGGACTCTATACATTCCCTCAACCACTCCTCAACAGAATGACTAGGAAGAGGAACTCCCAAAATAGGAAAGACTCAGAGACTGTGACTTATGCCACAGATTTACAAATGGATTCAGATATAACCAAGATGTCAGAGATGGAATTCAGGCTAGCAATTG